CCCCCTCCCCAGTGCTGCCAGTGCCCCCCCAGTACCTTCCCAGTGCTCCCAGGACCACCCCAAATCCCACCACTGACCCTCCAGTGCCCCTTGCAATGCCTCCCAGTGCTCCCAGTACACACAGCCGGGCCCCAATCCCTCCCCAGTGCTCCCAGTGCCCCCGAAATCCTGCCCACTGTTCCCAGTAACTCCTAGCGCCTCCCACGGCCACCCCAGCGCTCCCAGTATCACCCAGTAGCCCCCAAATACCTTCCCAGTGCCCTCCAACCCAGACCCGTGCTCCCACTTACCCTCCCAGTGCTCCCAGTAACTGCTACTGTCCCCCCAATACCTCCCACTGCTCCCAGTGCCCCTCTACCTCCCACCAGTGCTCCCAGTGCCACTCACAACCCCTCCCAGTGCTCCCAGTAACCGCTAGTGTCCCCCAAATACCTCCCACTGCTCCCAGTGCCACTTACGGTCCCTCCCAGTGCTCCCAGTAACCATCAGTGCCGCCCTGGTGCATCCAATGTCCCCCAGTGACCCCCAGTGACCCCCCAGTGCCCACCAGTTCCAGCCCAGTGCCCCCCAGTGCTCCCAGTACCTCCTCAGTGTCCCCTCAATGTCTCCTGGCCCCCCCCCGCATCTTGTGCGCCCCAGTTCCCGTCCCAGTGTCTCCCAGTGTCCCTCCCAGTGTCCCCGTGTCTCCCAGTCCATCCAGTGTCCCCCTGCTGACCTCCGCCAGAGTCCCCCAGTCCGGCCAGTGTCCTCCCAGTCCTCCCAGTGGCCCCCCCAGTGGCCCCCCAAGGCCACCCTGCCCCGCGGTCACACTCCACGTCCTTTATTGCCACAGCGAGGGACACGGAGATGCCACCAACCCGTCCCGCCCGGCTGAGCCCCCCGAGCCTCCCCAGTCCATCTCCAGGCAGGACCAGGACCCCCACGCCACCTTCGGCCATGGTGGGCTCAACGCCGCGCTGCCACGCTCCTTCGTTAGCTCTTAAGAAGACGGCAAGATGGCGGCCACATCATGGAGAGGCATGGAGATGCCACCACCCCGTCCTGTCCTGCCAAGTCCCCAAAGAGTCCCCAGTCCATCTCCAGGCAGGACCAGGACCACCACGCCACCTTCAGCCATGGTGGGCTCCACCCCGCGCTGCCACGCTCCTTCGTTAGCTCCTGACGAGGACGTCAAGATGGCGGCCACACGATGG